AATAATATAAGTGCCAATGCATTGCATGGGGCTTCGCCCCATGCAATGCATTGCCAGCTGGGGGCGGAGCCCCCAGCTGGCAAGGCACCCATAATTAAGAAAAACATCATGGTTCATATAGGAGGCTTTTTAGACTCACTGTAACTATTTTCATTGTTTAATCAATTAATCATTTCGTCATCACAAGATCTAAGAGTCAAGTCAGCGTTGACTGTTGATTGATTATTTGATGGTTAATTTACCCAATATGATTTTCTATCAGAGTTTATGTTTGCTGATTTAAAAACTTTGAGTTCAAGTTCTGTATATCTCTATGTATACACACAAATAATGAAATAAGTTAAAAATGTAGAGTTGCTTACAGAGAACGTGTCTGTTTCATTCTTCTCCTCAGAGTTCATCCATGGAGAGCATCCCAGGACTTTCTCTTCTCCTTCTGGTGGCGAGTGTGTCCATCCTGACGAGTCCCAGCGTCCTTGGTGGAAAGATCCTGGTGTTCCCGGTGGATGGCAGCCACTGGGTCAACATGGACCTGCTGATCCAGAGCCTCCACGCCAGAGGCCACGAGGTGACCGTGGTCCGCACAGCCACCAGCTGGTACATCAAGGAAAGCGCACCGCACTACCGCTCCATCACCATCACTCTGCCGGAGGCCATCAGCTCGGAGGAGGAGGACTTTTTTGTCAAACTTCTGAGTAAGATTTTGTCGATCAAGAAAGAGGGGCCATCTCTATTTGCATTTATCCAGTTCTACTGGGAAATGCTCGGCAAGCTGTCGCGACTTCACCAACAGTCCAGTATGTTGGGCGTAGAAATATTCGAGAATAAGACTTTACTGCAGAGTATCCGTGATACTCAGTTTGACATGGTTCTTCTGGACCCAGGTTTGCCTGTCGGGGTTCTGGTGGCTCATGAACTTAAGCTGCCGACTGTTTATAACGTGCGATGGATCACCAGCGGAGAAGGGCATTCCGTTGTCGCTCCGTCACCAACATCCTACGTCCCAACTGCAGGACACGTTGTGTCGGACAAGATGACCTTTGTGCAAAGAGTGAAAAATTCACTCATCTATGTCCTGAACATGTGCATTGACAAGCTTATTGTCAGCCCTCACTATGACAGAATAGTGGAGAAGTACTTTGGTCCAGATGTGAACTTTTATCATCTCCTACAGGGGGCAGACATCTGGCTCATGAGGGTGGACTTTGTCTTTGAATTTCCCAGACCCACCATGCCCAACATCATCTACATTGGTGGTTTTCAGTGTAAACCATCTAAGCCTCTCTCAGCAGAGCTGGAGGAGTTTATCCAGAGTTCAGGAGAGCATGGATTCATCCTGATGTCTCTAGGTACCCTGGTTAAAGGCCTGCCTGAAGACATTACCGCCGAAATCGCTGCTGCCTTTGCCCAACTTCCTCAAAAGGTCATATGGAGGCATGTCGGAGAGCCCCCGAAGAACCTGGGAAGCAATACCCTTCTGGTGAAATGGATGCCCCAGAATGACCTCTTGGGCCATCCGAAGATTAAAGCCTTTGTGGCCCATGGTGGTACGAACGGGATCTACGAGTCCATCTACCACGGAGTTCCGATTATAGGCATTCCTCTTCTGTTTGACCAGCCTGAAAACATTTTGAGGTTGGAAGCACGAGGTGCTGCCAAGATGGTGGATGTAAATGAAATCACCCACCAGAACTTTCTGGAGACATTACAAGAAGTTCTTCACAGTCCCTCGTACAGAAACAACATGCAGCGTCTCTCCGATCTCCATCGCGACACACCGATGCATCCTCTGGAAACGGCACTTTTCTGGATTGAGTTTGTCATGAGGCACGGAGGAGCTTCACATTTACGCACTGAGTCCTATAAGATGCCCTGGTATGCGTATCATTCTGTGGATGTTATATGCGTGTTGTTAGCAGCTATGTTGGTGCTGATGGCAACTGTGGTGGCATCAATACGTTTCCTGTGCTCTCGACTGTGCAGGAGGAGAAAACCCAAACAGGAATAGTAACATATGTCAAATATTTCAATCCCAAGAAAGGCAACAGTTAACTGGTGATAATTATTGATCCTCATCTGAAAAGAAACTGGATGGTCTTAGAGATCTGGTCTGCACATGGGATTTAATGACAATAAAGTAAATATTTAATGAATATATAACTGTGCAGAAGTGATCACGGTATCAATGTTCCGCTGATACACATGCTCAACCAATCACAAGTCAGTCTGGGCTGTCAATCATGACATTTGTCCTTGTTTTGATGTCATCAAATTACAAAATGAAACTCCTCAGAAACACAAACACTTGAACTTACTTCAGTGTGATAGAAACTACCTAAAACGACAGTAACCATCTTTTTTTTGTTTGGTCCATGCCCCATCTGTTAACATGGAGGAGGCAGGGTTTATGACCCAGACCGCAGCCAGCCACCAGAGGGCGATCAAAATGATTTGACTTCACTTCTGGGGAGTTGTCATGTCGACCATCTTTATATACAGTCTACGATCTGAACACATTGAATCACACAAGATGAGGTTTGAATAAAAATGTGAAGAAGCCAAATGTTTCTGAAATGTCTGTGAATGCTTTGATTTGTTTCCATGTTTAAAAAAAATCAGAATCAACATTTCAAAATTAATTCTAAAATGTTATATCGTGTGTAATTATCACTTGAAGAATGAAAAATCTGTTGTATAATTTTTTACTGAATGAAAATTTAAAAAAAATTAAAAAAATTAAAAAAACAATGTGCACTATTGTTATATTAAAAATCAGATTTGAATATATATGAATAACTTTGTTAGGAAATGAAGGCATCATAGATATTTTCCCTTTATTTTCTCCCTTTTACCCAGAAACAGTTTTTTAATATGAAATGAGAAATACAAATGTTGGTGGAAGAACTAAAAGTTCTTTTCACAGATCCATCTATAAGCGATCTTACAGGAACCATCCATCCAGGACTCGAGTGCGTTTTCAGACGTGTCAATGTGTCCACAGTCTTCTCCCAGAGGGTCGTCCAGCCTCCAGTCGTCCGGCTCAGCTCCGACTCCCGGTCTTCTCAGCCAATACCTGCAGGGGGAGCAGCTGAGTCATTCTCACAATGTCACGAGGAGAAGGAGAAACTGTGACTGACACTCATGAGTTGTTAAAAAAATAAATAATAATTTAGTTTGACAATAACAAATGATCTTTTTCAAGGAGAAAATAAAGTTAAAAAGAACCGATATTTAAAAATATTATATTATATTATAGTTAATTTCATCACACTTGAATCCCAGTGTTGAGACTCACTGCTCATCTGAAGTGACTCTGCTGCCGTCCACCCAGCGCCACCGTCCCTCCTCGTCTTCATCACTCAGACCGATCCACAGTCTGGTGCCGGACGGATCCAGAGTCCGACTGCTGTCAAAAATAAACTTCTGAAGAACAGAATAAAATGAGAAGATTTCAGATGATATATATATATAAATAAATAAATAACTGCACTGCAACATGATGTCTTATTTTCCTCCCCCACCTGTTCTTGTTCACTGTTAATGACGAGCAGGTCGCCCCCTTGTGTCCGGCACCAGGACTTGCTGGCGCTCCAGTCCAGCGTGCGCGAGGAGAAGTAATAACACTTTGACTCAAACTGTTTCCAGCTGTTGTGACATTTTTTGCAAATTCGCTCTGTGGAAAAAGAGAGAGTGAGAGTTCAGTTAGACTTTGGGAAGCGAGGGTCAAGATAGCTGCGACCAACAAACCACATTCTTTGCCTTGTGAACGCGATATCTCAGGAACACATCGAGATAATCCTTTCAAATTACGCACAAATGTTCATTTAGACTCAAAAATGAATTGATTAGAATTCGGTTCTTGAAGGTCAAAGGTCACTATGACCTCACAAGACTCTTTTCTGTCTTGTGACAAATTCAATGACTAGATTTTTGTGGTCAAAGGCCTGGGGCCCCAAGGTGTGGTGCACCAAGAATGGGGCTTCATTTTGTCCCCTAAAGTCCCTGAACACACTGGTAAATGCATCTGTGATTATTATTTGATCAACACAGAAACTCCGACGACGCGTACCTCTGGTCTTCTGATTAACCACGGGGCAGTGGAGGTCTAAAGAGCGATAGGCCTCGTTCGCTGAATGTAGATCCGCCGCCATCTGCTGGACCTCCTTCGTCCTGCGTCTCTCCTTCTCTGCCGCTTCCTGTCGCTCTCTCAGCAGCACCGCGCTGAGGTTCTGGTTTTGTTCTTGGAGCTGCGTGACTTCCTCCTGAAGCTGCTCGAGGTCGTCCTTCGAAAAAGCTCCAATCATCTCGGTCAGATTCTGAATTTCTCCTTGAAACTTGTCATTGATTTCCACGAGCTCCTGATTGTCTCTCTTCACCTGGATCATCTCGTCCCTCAGGAGGTCGCTCGTCTCGGACAGTCGCCGTTTCTCCTCCTGCAGGCGAGTGTTGGAACTGACCAGAAGGTCGACGGTCTGAGACACGTTCAGCCTCTGTGCCTCCTGCTCGGATGAGTACTGAGCCAATTGTTCGTATTCTTGCGTTAGCTGCGTGTTTGTGGACGTTAGATTCACGATTCCCTCGGATAATTTGCTGCTTTTCAAACTCAAGGCAAGATTCATGGACCTGAGCTCAGCTGTCGTCCTGTTGACGAGTTTGTTCTGTTCGTGCAGACGAGCGTTTCGCTCCTTTAAGATTTCATTGTCTCTTTTGAGCTTGTTGTTTGCTTTGGTGAGAGAATTGTAGCCGTCGCTCATGTTCTGGTGGTTGAAGAGCTTTTCTGACTTCCTGTTTGTGTGATTATTATCTGAAAGACGAAAACAAAGAAAACCGAGTTCATATAAAACGACATCAAGACAATTTCAATGACGACGGACGAGACGACGGCTCCGAAATGTGAAGCCTACGACAACTGAAGCTACCACTGTTTCGTGTTTGTAAGGTTGAGGTGATGGGTATTCAGCTGCAACATGATGCTTCACCACTAGATGTCACTAAATCCTACACACTCAACCTTTAAACCCTCCAGTAACTTGCAGCGCGGAACATGAATACTTACACAGGACAGACAGAGCTGCACAGGTGACGAGCAGCAACACACAGAGCGCCGAGAGAGCGACCACAGCACAGAGTCGATGACACGCCCCTTTGTTCCTGGTGCAAAAGGAACGCGAAGCTAAAAAACACAAATAACAATAGAACAATTATAATCAGTATTAGTATCGTCAGTTGTATCAGTGACATCGGTTATTTATTTTCTTTTATCTTAAAATTACATTAGATTTAATCAAGTTAACCATTTTTAACCTTTTTCATTTCTCTCACTTGTTTTAATATTTTATTTCTTGTTTACTATAAATAATCCTACTTTATGTTTTACGTTGATTTCCTCGTTCAGTGTTTTATTGAAACCTGATTCCTAAAATAAAATCCCTGTGAATCTCAGAATTATAACACGACTGTCTGAAGATCTCACTGTTAAGTTGAAATATTTTTACTTCACTGACTCATTTTCTCACCTGAGAAATACAAATATTAGGATTAAATGTTAGACAATAGGAACATTCTACAGAAAACACGGTTATAAAGTCACTTACACATTTCATGCTCCTGCTTGGCGTGTGTGTCGGCTCCTCGTGTCGTCGGATTGTTGATCCTGGTGAACCACTGGTGACCGACCATCGTACCTGAGCAGACGTGGAGCAGCAGAGTAAACACACAGAGCACATCTACAAACAGCTGCAGATCCTTTGTGTTCGAGGTGTCGCTGAATCACAAAAGAGAATCACACTCTGTTTTTGGTCTTTGTCAGCATCTCTCACGTTCTGATTCTCACACACTCCAGGAAACATTTAAGCTGACATGTTCTTTTATACTTATACTTCTTATACTTTACATTTGAGCGGGACATGTTGAACTTCTTCCTCCAAACCTGCAGCTACAGATGAACATTTACAATAAATCATGTAAATATAATCACCTTATAAAATCCTGGTTGGTGCATTGTTAAACAAACCAAATATGAAATCCTCAAAATGAGGAAATGAGTAGATTGAAAATGAATGAAATTTCTTTGTACATGTTCAAGAATCAGTTTTTTAAGATCCTTTAATAAAAAACATTAATACTTCAATAAGAAGTGTGTTTAATTAACTAATTAACCAACTTATAAAATATGATGCATTACTCTACTTTAAGTACATTTGTTAAAACTTCATATTTATTCTCCGCTGACTAACTACACACTAGAAGCACACTGACTCTGTATTAGTCATAAAGAATTTATCAATGTTGTTTCTTTTTGAATAAAGTCGATGTGTGTGCACTTTAACTTGCTTTGTCTTTCTTTCTGTTTTTACACTTCCATCCCTCGCTGAATACAAACACAACAAAGTGCAGCTGAAGCTCAGAGACATCAGCTCAGCTCAGGACTCACCCTGGATGACGTCTCTCCTCTGTGACGTGTGGAACACGGACGTTCCCGATCCTCCTTGTTCTGCACCTCAGCTCGTTTCAGGACGACTGACGGACTCTGTGTCTGCAGCTGAAGAATCAAACCCGCTCTTCTGCTAACGGCCTCTTCTATTTGATGTCAGCTTATCTGTCTGAGAACAAAGGTCACTGACGCTCTGATTGTGTGTCTGTGTTTGGTCTTTTAACAGCTCCACTGATTTCCTACTCACACCATTAATCATTCGTGTGATGCTTCCTGCTGGTGAACTTTTAAGGCTTCAGACAAATGTAATAAACATTAAAAGACTGTAAATTCAATTTAAAAGAAAAGAAACGTAACAAACACTGCAGTTTATTTCAACTAATAAGAATCACTACGTGGAAAATATGAGTTAGTCCCATAACATTGAATACAATCCCTCACAACAGATTGGTGGTGGGTGTAAATAATAATAATAAGAAATGTGAATAATTATAATTATTATAAAACTAAACAGCATTTGAGTGTGTAGATATTAATTCTTAAAAAGGAGCCAGGGAGGGCAAACAATGACACTGGTCTACACGTGCTGTACTTTTACTCTACTTCTTTACTAATGTTTAAATAATGATATTTTAAAGCTGCTAACCTGTGGAGCAAGAAAAACACAAACTTCTCTCTGCTTCTAGAACGGATGAATTAATCATCACACGCAAAACACATGCAAATAGAAAACAACGTGTGGAAATGAATAAAACAACTGATGTTTCCAGGGGACGCAGAAAAGTGATGAACCTGCTGCAGCTCAATGTTTTGTGTCATCACCGCTGACGAGAAGCAGACTTCAGTGTTTTCTTCATTTGCACTGAGTCGAGTTTTCTGCGTGTTTGTGTGTTTCCTACTTCGACATGAACCAAACCAGCTCCTGTGGCAGAGAAGATCTCCTCAGACAATAAAGGAACTGAAACAATCTCTTAGATTTCTCATGTGTTTGCACAAGTTCAGGGAGGAAAATAAAACCACTGCAGCTGCACGAACACACAAACGTCTGGAGACGCTCTCTGCTTATCGCACGTAATGGTGATTGTGTGATACAGTAATATGTCAAACACGATGCTATCAGCAGGACAACGGGCGGAGATAAGACACACAGTGCTCCGTCTCTGCAGGAGATTCAGTCCTGAGCAGCTGCAGGAAAACTCGTGGGTGAGAAAATGTAGGAGGCTGAGTTGGATCAGCCTCAATCTGCAGAAAGGTTAAATCCAACCCAGTTTATGATGAGACATAATATATTTAACGTTAACGAAAGGTTATCTGGTTCAGTCTAATTCTTCTTATTGTAACTTTGTTTTGAGAAGTGCTTTATCGTTAAAGTTATTTTTTTTATTATTATTCGCTTGTTAGCTTGTCAGTAGGTTCATGTACAAACTACAGAACAGATTTAACTAATTTGTTGGAAGGTACGAAAACTCAAAAACAACAGAAAACACCAGATCTTTTTTACTTTCTCTAACATTGCGAGGATTTTTAGATTTTTATGACATTTCCCTTGATTCCTCAGAGAATATCTCATGGATCTTGTTAAAAAATATGTTTGAACAAATGTAAAAGATTTGGTGCAGAATTTAGGGAACATTTTAAAGAGTGTGTGTGTGTGTGTCTGTGTGTGTGTGTGTGTGTGTGTGTGTGTGTGTGTGTGTGCTGCATACAGAGGACAAGCAGCGGTGGTGTTAGCGACACTCTGTGCTAATGCTTCCTCCTCCTCTTTATCTACATCGTCTGTTTACGACTCAGCAGGAAGTTTCACCATCACAGGGTCTTTTATCTTCGCAGGGTCTACACTCTGCTCTTCTGTGAATTTTATTCTGACTAAACCTGAAACTAAGCTTCAGCATCCACAACAACATCCCAAAGATACCAAATACACACTCATACAGATCTGCACAGTCATACCAGGAACCTCAGCTTTTTATATCAATGGTTTGCTGTGGGGGGGGGGGCGTGCGAGGAGCGATCAGATCCAAACGTAATCACGAGTTGATTCCCTGAAGTCAAACTTGTTCTCTCTCCGCATTTACATAAAATACAAGCGTCATGAAGTATGAGATGTAGTTTATGTCTTGAAGTGTGTTGCTATGATCAACAAACAATCTTTTCACCTCAAACGCAGCTTTATTGCGAGATTCCGGCTTCATTTTTGCACAGTGGGAGGAAGCGGAGGCGCGGCGTCCATCTTTATTTACAATCTATAAGTGGCAATAATATCATTAATACCTAAATTACCACAACATCATCCAAACTGTAAAAGAATAACTGTTTAGTTTATTTAACCAGGTTTCACTGAATTGTTCCCGTTCAGTAAAAACTCACAGCAGATTCTCTGAGTCGGCGTCTGAACACGACTCACTCTTGGACTTTGCTCTTCCAGACCACCAGGTAGACGAGGAAGGGGATGAGGCTGACGGGGATGAGCGTGAGCACCATCACCACCCAGTGAGGCGCGTCCTCAAACACCAGCTCCTCCTTGGTGCAGTTCTGGAAGTAGCGGGAGTGTACGAAGAGGAAGAGGTCTTGAGTTTCCGGGTTTGGGTAGAAGCATCCGGTTATGTCCGACAGGCTCTCCAGACAATGTGTGAGGCCGCTGTACAGACTGAAACAGACGAGGACGAATGATGAGTTATCAAGTGAGGAAACATCAGCACTAATTTAATAATCATTTTAAATGAAACATGTTTTGTGGTTGTTAATCTGACATCACACCACCATAGGTTTATTATAATTCAACTCAACATGAGGAGTCGTCACCTTGAGCAGAAAGAAGAAACACACGTTTCTCTACATTTGACTTGTTTCAGAAACTCTCCTGATATTTGGTCACATTTTTACTTGACGTTAAAACCAAAGAAAGAAATGTTTCCTCCTTTTATTCGATAAGAAAATTAAAATAACTTCATGAGTCTGTGAGAAACTGGATTCCTCTCTTTTGGAATTGGACCATCAGTGCAACTGAGAGTGAAGCGGTTTAATGGTTCAACCATTTCCTGTCTGAACATAAACAGCCAGTCTGTGAGTGTGTGTGTGTGTGTGTGTGTGTGGGGGGGGGGGGGGGGGGGGGGGGGGGCTGGCTCAGACTCGATGACGGACACTTCCACAGTCCTTACTTTCACACACTCTCAGCCTCTTACAGTTTTAGATCTTTATTGTTTTACACTCATTGCTGTGCGTCAATTAAAACAGTAAAAAAATTGACATAAACTTGTTTTTAAGGCACAACAAGGAAATAAAGAAGAAGATGTAAAGAAGCGAACCAACAGTGATGTTAAAAGGTGTGAGTCCAGCGAGGATCCGGGTCGTACCTGCTGATGCTGTCGAGCTGGCACCAGTTTTCTGAGCCGATCGACAGCATTTCTTTATGAAACTTCGCTTCACAGATGCTGTGACCATATTCGACCAGCGCGTCCTTCTGACAACGTCCGGGAGGGAGGAACATGTCCTGGTCCTGAAACGACTCTGCACAAACACAACATACATCAACTGACACACACATGTCGCTCAGAGGTCATGCATAAAGGAAACTTAAAGAGAGAGTTTTCCTCACCGTTGTCCTCTGTGATCAGCGTCTGGTTGATATTTTCCAGTTCATTCTCAATGCGACTCATCACGTCGGTCAGGTTTTCTGAAGGAAAAACTAATATTCATGTTTGACTGTTAATCATCTTTAATTATATCAATTTTAAGAGAATTCATACAAACAATCGATGAACGAAGATGAAGCTGAAATGATTTTTGGATTGATTGAATAGTCGTTGATGCCGAGATCTTAACTATTAACACAAATTCTGTTAATGTGTAAATTCTGTTCTGCAATTTCCTTCAAGTAAAAAACCTGTGATCCAGAAAAATAAATGTTCCAGCACATTGAGCATGAACATTACGAATGAGTTCAAATCTTACAAATGGAGCAGAAACATTTCTGAAAATCAATCGATTGAAATTATTTTTCAAGCAAAAGTTTCAAACAAAATTTCAGTTTCTGAATTTTTCTTCTTTTTTTTTTTTGTGACCTGATGATTTTTTAACACGACGTTTGAATATATCACTTCTGGCTCTGATGAAATGAAGATAAACATAAATCAGAAGATAAATTAGTTCAATCATTAGGTGCAGTCACTGAGAATCATTTACAGTCAACAGGAACTAAAACTCCAGCCTCCGTTCTGAAACTTGTTCTTAGATGACGATGGATTCATTCTTGTTCTTGTGAAACCGAAGCGTCAACATTTTACATGATCTGACAATTAAAAAATTAATAATCGACAGTTAACAGAGAAAAACGATTAGTTGTAGACAACAGATGAAAAACGAAATGTTTTACTGTCGGTGGAGACATTGAAGGTTTGGTTCCTCTCTGCTCTGCTCCGCTCTTCCACCGTCACGTTGACAGTTTGTGATTTAATACCTGCGAACACAGATTCCAACGCATTTTAAAAGAGACTCTCTCCGGTCTGGGAAAGGTCCCATCGGTGTTTCTCCTCCGTCAACCCCACTGACGGAGAGAACAATGGACGCTCATGGAGGAAACAAGAGGAAAGAACAACAGGAAATTCCAAACGAAGAGTTCAACTACAACTGATGTTTAAGAAAACTGAAATGAAGGTGAAGTCAGGTACGAACCAGCGATTAGAAGAGGACAGAGCAGGTACAGGATCATGGTGGACGGCGGCGAGTGACCTGAGGTATCACGATGACGACTGAGAGCAGAGTGGGTTCATGAGGAAGAAGCCCAACCCTCTTTATCTTGGCTCTGTGTGTGTGTGTGTGTGTGTGTGTGTGTGTGTGTGTGTGTGTGCATGCGTGATGTTCCTGAGTGATAAACAGGAGATGAGGCAGGGAGGGGGAATCGAACCATGACCGAGCCTGTGAAGACGGACGGCAGCGTTGGGAACAGAAACACATCAGCCAGGATCACTTCACTGTGGTTGTGTGTCTCTGCCGACCAGCTGATTTCAGACTCATGTGAGGTCACCGTGACCTTTGACCCCCGATCGCTGAATTCTAATCAGTTCATCCGTGAATCCAAATGAATGTTTGAACCAAATTTGAAGATATTCGCTCCAGGTCATTCTCAGATATCGTGTTCACAAAGTCACGGAGGACTGAAATTATTTTTCTGACGTTGACCATCGACATCTTGCAGTTTTGTTTCAAATGTTTATTAATCCGCCCTCGAACACAGTCGACTACGCTCGATCCTGATTCACTGAAGTTTTCTCAAAGCTCCAAACTTCGACATTAACACTCGATTAAATCTCAGACGGGAGAACGGTCGCGTAATGTGGGTGGAGGGAGGTTGGACGGGCTCGGCCCAGTTTCCTGTAGGCTGTAAAAACGCTTTTCAGGGATTTCCTCCACACACACACACACACACACACAGACACACACACACACACACACACACACACACACACACACATTTGAGTAAATAACAGTATTTGTCAGACAGGGTTGAGAAAGACAT